AGTACCAAACTTGAGTTGGCCTCAGGGCCTTTGCACTTGCTGATCCATCTGTGTGGCCTTTGTACTTGTTCAGCCAATCTTTCCACAGCTCTTCTCATGGCTGGCTCTTCATTTTTCAGATTTCAACTCAAAGTCACCTCCTCAGGGATCCTCTTATCTAAAATAGCTGCTCCCTCCTCTCACTCTATTTCCGTTCACCCATTTTACAGTCCTTCATAGCACTTGTTTCTGTCTGGAATTATCTTGTTCATTTGTTTCCTTGTCTATTGTCTATCTCTCACCACTAGAATGAAGCCCCCACAAGGGCAGGGACTTTGTGTTGTTCTCTCTGTATTTCCAGAGCTGAGAACAGAGAGCATAGCCTAGTGTAGCTGCTTACTGGCCAAAGAACTGGAAATACTTCAAGGAGTGCAACAAGCTGCTTCTTGAAGGCAGGGCACTGGATATGGTAGCTTGCTATTCTGACCATTGTGAACTCTTTAGGTATCTATTTATTTATACATACCACTAACAGCGTTCCAGGCCCAGTTTCTCCAAAAGGAGGCTTTCCTTCTCTGGGGATACCTTCCCCATCAAGCAAGTTGGATTAAATCAATATAATTCAGTTTGAAAAATTCTATGGTTTCAGAGTGCAATAAACAACTTAAGATTCCAACATTGGTCGAGGTGGTTCACACCTGTAATCCTAGCACTCTGGGAGGCCGAGGCAGGAGGATCTCTTGAGCTCAGGAGTTTGAGACCAGCCTGAGCAAGAGTGAGACCCTGTTTCTAAAAACAAAACAAAACAAAAAAACAAGAAACAACTTAAGATTCTATATCAAGCAGGGTAAGTAGCTGAGATTTAGGTTTTAATCCCTAAAAAGGGAATAACAGGACGACCTCATTTAACAGTTGTGAAAATTAGAGAGAATAAATATGCAGCACTGGGCAAAGTGGTAGTTATTAATATTAACATCCTATTAGACACTAGGATTGGCTAGGTGCAGTGGCTCACACCTATAATCCTAGCACTCTGCGAGGCCGAGGTGGGAAGATCCCTTGAACCCAGTAGTTTGAGGTTGCAGTGAGTTATGTGATGCCACTGCACTCTAGCAGGGGTGACAACGCAAGACTCTGTCTCCAAAAATAATAAATAAATAGTCACTAGGATGGCAGCAACCAGCCAAGAATAATAACCTTTATGAGTTATTTAATATATTATTAACATTTTAAAAGCAGAACCATGAATTTCATAGGCAGAGAATCTGCTAGTGAAAAAATTATCTTATTCATCAAGTATTTATTTAGTACCTACTGAGTGCCAGGCACTGTGCTGGACTCTGGGGAAACACAAGAGAACACCTCTGTTCCCAGGGAGCTTACTGCCTCCTGCAGGGAGACAGTGAGGATTTAATCAACAAACATCTACTTTCTACTGAAGACTTCAGCAGGCTGCAATAAAGAACAGGGAAGGGAGCTCCTAGATAGGGGATGGAGAAAGTCCTGCTAAGTAGGAAACTCACCTTGATTTGCAGGAGAAGAAGCCATTTAGGAGAAAGAGGTTGTTCCGGAAAGGACATTCCAGGCAGAATTTACAGAGTGAGGTAGAGAATAGCTGCAGTTAGCGGGAGGGAGAATGTATTGGGGAACCGTTGGAGGTTTTAAGAAGGGGAATTAAGTGATTTGATGTATTAAAAGATCATTCTCGGCCAGGTGTGGTGGCTTAGGCCTGTAATCCTAGCACTCTGGGAGGCTGAGGCGGGAGGATTGCTCAAGGTCAGGAGTTCCAGACCAACCTGAGCCAGAGCAAGATCCTGTCTCTACCAAAAAAATAGAATGAAATTAATTAGCCAACTAAAAATATATAGAAAAATATTAGCCAGGCATGGTGGCGCATGCCTGTGGTCCCAGCTACTTGGGAGGCTGAGGCAGGAGGATCGCTTGAGCCCAGGAGTATGAGGTTCTGTGAGTAGGCTGACGCCACGGCACTCTAGCTGGGGCAACAGAGTGAGACTCTGTCTCAAAAAAAAAAAAGCCGGGCGTGGTGGCTCACGCCTGTAATCCTAGCACTCTGGGAGGCCGAGGCAGGCGGATTGCTGGAGGTCAGGAGTTCAAAACCACCCTGAGCGAGACCCTGTCTCTACTAAAAATAGAAGGAAATTAATTGACCAACTAAAAATATATATACAAAAAATTAGCCGGGCAGTCCCAGCTACTTGGGAGGCTTAGGCAGGAGGATCACTTGAGCCCAGGAGATTGAGGTTGCTGTGAGCTAGGCTGATGCCATGGCACTCTAGCCTGGGCAACAGAGTGAGACTCTGTCTCCAAAAAAAAAGAGACAAGCAGAGAGACCAGTTAGAAGTTTCTCCTAATGATCCAGGTGAAGGATGATGGTGGCTTAGAGGCAGAGGACATGCAGAAAAGTGGAAGGATTTGGGAGGCAGTAAGTAACTAATTGTTTGGGGTGTGTTTGGAAGAGGAAGGAATCCTGAATGCCTCTGAGGTAAACTTCAGATAAGTGGATGGTGGCACCATGTTCTGTAATGGTGAAAACTGTCAAAGGAATGAATGAGTTTGGTGGCTGAATGGAGGGAAAGAAGAGTTCTACTTAGCTGTAGGCGCCTGTGAGACAGTGGATAAGAGGCCGAAAAGGCAGTGGGAGCTCAGAGAAGAGCCCTGAACTGGAGACCTACATCCTGTAATTGTTGTCATTGTCCCTTTAAGATTGACTCCATCTTCTCTGTGATGTATTATTTTTTATATCTCAATGTGTATATCATCAATGGTACAAGGAAGCAGAAGCCTGAGCTGCCAGTTTCATAGACGGAAAGACTCTGGGGGAGGGAAAGAAGCAGAGTGGGAACTCTGGTGACAGAAACAGTTAGCATAAGTTGAAATGGCTGTTAATTAGGAATTCAGTTGAAACATCTTTTAAACACAGGTTGCTAAGCAACAGTGGCCACCCCGGAACAGTGTGGCTGCACCTTCTGTTTTGGAGCTCCTGGGCCTGGGTGTCAGCTGCAGCAGAGGTATTCCACACATGGACCTCATACACTCCTCTTTTCAGATTCTTCCCTCTATGAGTCACTGTCCCTCTCTCTGGGATCACTGGTCTTTCACTCTCTACTGGGTCATTCCCAGTAGCACCACAAACATGCTTTTCTGTCTCCTTGCTATAGGAATAAATACCTTGACCTCACCTCCCCTATGCCCTGCAATTGTGTTATTCCACCCCCACAACTTCTTGTCTACACATACTGTCTCCACTACTGCTTCTCTTCGTGTCTCCATCTGTCCCCACTTTACTGAAACTTCTTTTTTTTTTTTTTGAGACAGAGTCTCACTCTGTTGCCCAGGCCAGAGTGCCATGGTGTCAGTCTCGCTCACAGCAACCTCAAACTCCTGGGCCCAAACAATCCTTCTGCCTCAGCCTCCTGAGTAGCTGGGACTACAGGCATGCGCCACCATGCCCAGCTAATTTTTCTATATATTTTTAGTTAGCTTCTATTTTTATTTTTTATTGATTTATTTTCAGAGTCCACTCTCTTGCCTGGGCTAGAATGCCGTGGCGTTAGCCTGGCTCACAGCAACCTCAAACTCCTGGGCTCAAGCGATCGTCCTGCCTCAGCCTCCCTGGTAGCTGGGACTACAGACACGTGCCATCATGTCTGGCTAATTTTTTTAATTGTTTGGCTAATTTCTTTCTATTTATAGTGGAGACGGGTCTTGCTCTTGCTCAGGCTGGTCTTGAACTCCTGAGCTCAAGCAATCCTCCCGCCTTGGCCTCCCAGAGTGTCACCGAGCCCTGCCCTGAAACTTCTTTGGTCAAGTTCACATACAACTTGTCTGGTATCAGGCCACGCCTCTCTTCTCTCAGCAGCCTTTGACAGAACTGACAATTCCATCCTTCCTGGGATATTGTCCTTTCTTGGATTCTTCTTGGTTTCTCTCCTACCTCTCTGGCCAATCCTCTGTCTTTATAAGCCAGTCCTCTTCCACTTGAACCCTATGTATTGGCGTTCTTCAGGGCTGTGTCTTGGGCTCTCTTGTTTTCCAGTTACTTTTCACCTTAAGTGATTTCTTTAATTCTTAGTGCTGTAAATATATTTATATGGCCCAAATTCACACCTCCAGCCTATGTTTGTCCTGTGAGCTCCAGACTCATGTATCCATTTGTCTAGGTGACAACTTGACATTGCATTATAAACCCCCACACGACACCTTATTCCCTTACCCTAGGCCTATTTCTCTGGTAGTTTTTCCCACTTAGCACACAGCACTACCAATCATCAAGAACTTCAATTCATTTCTCCCTGTCCATCCCTCAATGTTCAATCCATCAGCAAATCTCTTTAATGGGCTCCCTTCTTACCCCAGCTTGTTTTCTACCTAGCAACCTTCTCAAAAATACAAGTTGGGTCGACTAACTTGCTTGTATCAGTGATTTACAGGCTGGGTGGGTGCTCTTTCCCTCACCACCCACTTCTACCTGGCCTTCCCCCAATGATTTAATAAGACCGCTGGGGAGGGGGCGGGTGACTCAAGTTGAAGTTAGAGAGGTGTTCATTCTGGAAATTCACTGAGTGCCAGTTGTGCTCTGGGCGCGGTAGTTACAACGGTGAACGCCAGGACGCACAGTTCCTGCCCTCAAGGAGCTGCCATTCCAACAGCAAAGGGGACCGGCACTTCCCAGCGAGGACAACCGTCCCGGCATGTGCTCGCTCTCTCGGCGCGTGGCCCGCCCCCGTGCCTACGGACAGGCCTCAGTTCTGCAAACGGGCTGGCGACGCGAAGCTGCCTTCTCTGCGGCAGGGCCAGCGGAAGTTCCAGGCGCTAGCGTCGCGTGGGAGGGGTGGGGACAGGGCGAGGAGTGAGTTGTGGTCCCCCGCCCCCGCGCAACTCCCGGCCCAGGCGGGGCGGGGCCAGCCGGTCACGTGGCCGGCAGGCGCGCGCCGGTTCTGAGCGCCAACCGCCGGCCGCCCCGCCCCCGCGGCCCGCCCCCGGCGCGCGGCCGCCGCGGCGTCCTCGGGGTGGAAAGTGCAGCGCCTGCCCGTGCGAGCCCCGCAGGAGCGGGGTCGAGCGCGGCGCGGGCTCTCCCGGACTGCTGGACAGCCGGGGTCCAGCCTGGGGGTTCAGTGGCGGCCGAGGAGGGAGGCGCTGGGGGTGCCGAGCCTCTGGAGGGCTCCTGAGCTGGGGGCTGGCAGAGTTGGGGCTCCCGCCCTGGAGTTGCGAGACCCTCCTTTGTCGATCACACTGAGGTGAGGGGGCTGCGCTCCGCCAGAGCAATTAGCAAGCACAGTGCCTAGCGCAGAGCGAGCCCTCCCAGTATCCCGGCCTGGCTGCAACCGCGGTGCGGGCGAAAACTGGAGAGGGAGTGATGGATAACTGGGCTGACAGAAGATAACTGCCATTATCAAGCACGTAGGCTGGCCAAGTGCGGTTACCACCTCTTCTTTCCCGAGGTGGCAGCCGAGGCACATAGGGGACCTAGGAGTGCGGTGGCAATAATTGTGATGCAGAGGTGGGATACGAACCTGGGACGTTTCGCTTTTGGCCCACTGTGCTGGGATGAAGAAAAAGGGTACTCGAACCAGGCTTTGAAAATTGGGCAGAGTTTGATGGGTGGAACTAACTGAGCCAGCCCCTCATTAGCTGTTAAGGTCTTGAGAAGACGTTTGATCCTTAGAGGCTACACTTTCCTCCTCCATGAAAGTGGCTGGACCTCTGAAAACTAATAACTTCTGTGTAGGTAGTGCTTTGCAATTTGTAAAGCACTTTGAATTATGGTGTCGTAGTGATTCCTAACAATGGACTCACTAAGTAAGTGTTTTTATTTGCCTTTTATAGAGGAGGAAATTGTGTCCAAGAGAGGTTTAGGGAGTAGTGACAGAGTCTCACTGTTGAATAAATCAGGTGTTTTGGATGTCAAACTGCCTTGGATGTGAATAAAGCTCCCAAACTCAAACATCCTGTGATTTCATCATCTGAGCTCGTACCTCCTAGTTTAAGATACACTACTTTGCTGGATCTGTGTTCTTTCCAACTACCAGCAACTGTAACCCAGCAACACACATCATCGTGGCACTACACTTTCAATGATTTTTTTTTTTTTTAGTATTTCTTACTGGTTTGGGTTGAACCAACTGTGGCGTCCTTTAGGCAGAGTCCAAACTGGGAGGTAGTTGGGTGGGGTTAATTGAATTCTGAAAATTCCAACTGAGTGTTTTGGGTTTTCTAAGTGATATTTTGAGGGTGTTGGTGATAAATAATATTTTTTGTCCTTATTAACAGGTCTACTTCCTAGAAAATTACTGGAAGGAACATGAGAAAAGTAAGTAGGGATTTGGGAGTATCAGTTAAAAGATCCAAAATTGTTTGTTTATAGAATAACGGCAGTTAGTTTGGTGATGTCATTTCTGCATATATGAAGTTAATGAGCAGGTGCTTTTCAAATGCCCATTTTTGAGGAACATATATATTAATACATGCAGACAGGTCTACACGTATCTGGCAATCTGTCACCACAAATACACCAAGAGATGCTTTTTGTTTTTTTTCAGTTCCCATAGGACTGTGAAAGGGAAGAGGAACCAGCTGTCACCCTGATGTCTGTGATGTGTGCCAGGTGGCATGAGTGTTTTCATTATATTATAGCCTTGTTTATCCTCACAACAAACTTAAATTAAGCAGGAGGAGTTCTTATCCTTTTTAGAAAGGAAGAGACTGAAGCTTGGGAAAGTTAAGTAAACCAGCTCTGTAGGTGCCAAAAAAACTTAGGTTTTTCACCATTGCCCACTGTTTTCACATTGTTTTCTGGTTTTTTTTTTTTTGAGGCAGAGTCTCACTTTGTTGCCTGGACTAGAGTGCTGTGGCGTCAGCCTAGCTCACAGCAACCTCATACTCCTGGGCTCAAGCGATCCTCCTGCCTCAGCCTCCCGAGTAGCTGGGACTACAGGCATGCACCACCATGTCCGGCTAATTTTTTCTATATATTTTTAGTTGTCCAATTTCTTTCTATTTTTAGTAGAGACATGGCCTCACTCTTGCTCAGGCTGGTTTCTAACTCTTGACCTTGAGCGATCCACCTGCCTCGGCCTCCCAAAGTGCTAGGATTACAGGTGTGAACCACTGTACCTGGTCTGTTTTTGCATTGTTGATACAGGTTCAAAGTCAACAAATACTTAATGAAACACCTACTTGTATCCGGTACTTCTGGATACTTTTTAAAATCCTTATCATAAGCCACCATGCCTTTTGCTCATTTCAGCTGATTACCTTGAAATCAGCAAACATTTAAAAAAAAAATTAGCTCACTGCCTCATCAGAACTGGGAGAAAAGCATTTGTAAATCCGTGGTGCTGTTCCTGCCTCCCTCCCTAAACTTGATGTGGTGCTGCAGGGGTGTTGGAGGCATCAGCTCCTTTTGCACAACTCTGACATCTCAAAAAGAGAGGTGAAAAATGAAAATGTGGGCCTTATACAACAAATTGAATTGTAAAGATATTTTATTCCACTGATGATGATTAAAAATGCCACTGGTTTCCTATGATAAATGTACACAATATTGGCTAATGGGACTGACCATTGATGTGACACTTGGACTGATTAGGAGTTACTTACAAAAAAACATCTGGTGGAAATTTGGACGTGGCCAGTAAGAAAGATTATTCACAGTACATTGAAAGGCCCTCAGATGCTTACATCTGAGCATTGAGGGAAATAGTGACAGACAATCTGCACAACTCTCTCAGTGGTTTTTGAAAAGTATAACTCTGGGTGGGGTGAGGTGGCTCATGCCTGTAATCCTAGCATTTTGAGAAGCTGAGGCACGAGGATCGCTTGAGGCCAGGAGTTTGAGATCAACCTGAGCGAGACCCTGGTCTCTATAAAAGAATAGAAAAATTAGCTGGGTGTGATGGCATGTGCCTATAGTCCCAGCTACTTGGCAGATTGAGGCAAGATTTTGAGGTTGCAGTGAGCAGTGATGATGCCATTGTACTTTAGCTCAGGTGACAGAGTGAGACCTTGTCTCAAAAAATATAAACAAACAAACAAAGCCCCTTTGGATTCCTTATTGATTACCCAGCAAAGACCCTGGTGCTCGGAAACTGTCTCATCCCACCTCCCCGGCTGCTCTCAACTAGCATGTTCCCCGCATGGGTCTGTTCAGAGCTGGCCACAAATCTCTGGATAAAGGATCTGTCATCCCAGTGCCTTTGCATTACCTGCTGCTCCTCTGCCTGGGCTTTTCTTCCCGCCCTTGCCTGGTAGAGAAACACTTACTCTCTTCCTTCAAGACTCAGCTTGAGCATCTACTCTGCTGGGAAACTTTTCCAAGCAAAATCAAATGGCAATGCTGTTTTTAATTTACACCTCTGATACCCTCACCAAACCCTAAGCCCTCTAACCCTGATATATTTGTGTCTAGAGCCCAACAGGTGTGATGCATAGAATGTTTGTTGAACAAGTGCTTGTGTTGTCAGGATCACCCTACGGAGCCTACTGTACACATGGTACCTTTTTTTTTTTTGAGACAAAAGTCTCACTTTGTTGCCCAGGCTAGAATGAGTGCCGTGGCGTCAGCCTAGCTCACAGCAACCTAAAACTCTTGGGTTCAAGCGATCCTGATGCCTCAGCCTCCCGAGTAGCTGGGACTATAGGCATGCACCACCATGCCCGGCTAATTTATTCTATATATATTAGTTGGCCAATTAATTTCTTTCTATTTATAGTAGAGACGGGGTCTTGCTCTTGCTCAGGTTGGTTTCGAACTCCTGAACTCAAACGATCCGCCTGCCTCAGCCTCCCAGATAGCTAGGATTACAGGCGTGAGCCACCGTGCCCGGCCCACATGGTACCTTTTATGGGGAGTCATCCATCCATCTTTCCACCTTTAGTACCAAAGTGCTGATCACCATAGGTACAAAAATGATTAAGATGGGCTGGGTGCGGTGGCTCACACCTGTAATCCTAGCACTCTGGGAGGCCAAGATGCATGGATTGCTCAAGGTCAGGAGTTTGAGACCAGCCTGAGCAAGAGTGAGACCCCATCTCTACTATAAATAGAAAGAAATTAATTGGCCAACTAATATATATAGAAAAAATTAGTCTGGGCATGGTGGTGCATGCTTGTAGTCCCAGCTACTCGGGAGGCTGAGGCAGAAGGATTGCTTGAGCCTAGGAGTTTGAGGTTGCTGTGGGCTAAACTGACGCCGTGGCACTCTAGCCCGGGCAACAGAAGTGAGACTCTGTCTCAAAAAAAAAAAAAAAAAAAATTAAGATGCTAGTCCTTAAAGAGCTCCCTACTTCCTGTAGGAGATAAGCAGTGCTAAGTCCTGGATCTGATCTACCTTAACCACATGATGTTTGGCAGGTTACTTAATTCATGTAAAATGTTGATGGTAGTAGTATCTGCCTCCAGGTATTTTGTGAGGATTAGATGGGTTTTTACAGGTAAAACACTTAAAACAGGGCCTGGCACAGAGTATGTGCTCAGCAAATGTATGTTAGTACTACAGTGCCTAGTGAGTGTTAGGATAAAGGAGCCAGGGGAAAGCTTCCCAGAGTAGGTACCACCTAAGCTGAGTTATAAAGATGAGCAAAAATTACTTTCTTCTGTTTGCATGAAAGCATGTTGAATGCAGTTTCAGATACATTGCACAGAAAGGATCAGCTTTATTGTTGACTGGGGAAGGTATGAGGACACACAGGCAAAGAAAGGGTAAGGAATGTTATACTCTTAGGGCTTACCCCAGCCTCCATTTCCTAAGAAATCCTTTTCAGAGAGTGGTGCAGACTGGGGGCTGAATTCAGCCTATAAAAGTGTTTTGTTTGGGTTTGGCACAGTGGCTCACTCCTTTAATCCTAGGGCAGGAGGTTTGCTTGAGGTCAGGAGTTCCAGACCAACCTCAGCAAGAGCGAGACCCCGTCTCTACTAAAAATAGAAAGAAATTAGCTGGGCAACTAAAAATAGAAAAAAAAGTTAGCTGGGTATGGTAATGTGCACCTGTAGTCCCAGCTACTCAGCAGGCTGAGGCAGAAGGATCACTTGAGCCCAGGGGTTTGAGGTTGCTGTGAGCTAGGCTGATGCCATGGCATCCTAGCCTGGGCAACAGAGCAAGACCCTGTCTCAAAAAAAAAAAAAAAAAAAAAAAAGGGGTTTGGTTTGGCCTGGACAGTGGTTCTAAACTTTTTAAAAATAATCTGGATTTCAAGCATCATAAATCAATCATGGTGACCACTGCCTTCAGATTAAAATCTCTGTGTTTCTGCATGATGGGAAGCAATTGTCTGGAGCTGATAGTTGTGCTTCCTTAGTTTAGTGGGCATGTCCTCTTCAGTTTGCCAACTCTCACTGTCTGTAAAATGCACACATATTAGAAGATAAGGGGATTTAACAAAAAGTAAAACAAAAAAGTGCATGCCTTGGCCTTCCAGTGTGCTAGGATTACAGGTGTGAGCCACCCTGCCTGGCCTGTTGAGGGAAATTTAGACTTTCGGAAAATGTATCCTCCTTTACCCCATAACCACTATGAACAGCCTGCTATATTTCTTTATACTTTTTAAAAGTTAGCATTTATTGAGCACTTGATGTGTGTCATGCACTTAGCTGAGCATATCACATAAATTATCTCTCTTGATGCTTACAACAACCCTGTGAGGTTATTGTCATTCCTATTTTACAGGTGTAGAAAGTGAGTCACAAGTTAAGTAACAGGGTCGGGGACCCACAGGAGTGCTTTGTGGAGCTAGTGTCCCAGTGCATTCCTTTCTGATTTCAAAGCCCTTTCTTCTAACCATGACAGGGTCACACCTCCCTGAGAAGACCTCTGGAGAGGATCTGCAGATACTCCCCTGAAAAGGGGTGTTCATAAAGGTCCCCTGCTTCTGCCCTGATCTCTATTCATTGATGGAATGTTCACTGAGTGTCTGCTTTGCAGGGGTTTGGGGGGCATATGTCAGTTATCACAGTACCTGCCCTCAGGGAGTTGCCTGGTGGTGATGACAGATACTAAACAGACACTTGCAATACGGAGTTATGGACAATGCACAATGGTAACAGAAAGGAGAGAGTAGTTTTGCATGGGTGGTGGAGAGTAGGGGGGTGTCAATGTAAATAATATTTAAGCCATGTCTCTTTTCTTTTTTTAGAGACAGGATCTTGCTTTACTGCCCAGGCTGGAGTGCGGTGGTGCAGTCATAGCTCACTGCAGCCTCGAACTCCTACACCCAAGTGATCCTTCTGCCTCAGCCTCCCAAGTAATTGGAACTACAGGCATGCACCACCACGTCCAGCTAATTTTTCAATTTTTTGGTATGTTCCCTAGGCTGGTCTTGAACTCCTGAGCTCAAGCGGTCTTCCTGCCTCAACCTTCCAAAGTGCTGGGATTACAGGCGTGAGCCACCACACCCAGCTTAAGCTGTGTCTTGACAGATGTGTACTGTGTTCAGTAGGTACATAAGAGGAAAGGATACTTCAGGCAGAGGAAACAGCATCAACAAAAGCATGGTAAGATGGAACAACAGTTTGTTCAGGGAGCTGAAAATACTTTAGCATGACTATAGGCTGGGAGTGGGAAGGGGCTGGATAGATAGGTAGGGTCCTGCGTGTGTGGGGCCTTATATGTCATTCGAAGACGTCCATATTTTAATCTGAAGGCAGTGGAGCTATTGCAGTGTTTGTGAAAGGGGAGTGCTGTGATGGATTGATGCTGTCAGTGAAGTCCGAGTGGAGGACACTTTGAGGCAGGTGGGAATTGGAGACAGGGAGGCCAGGAAGGGAAAGACTATAGTTAGTCTATGGTGATGAACATGGAAATGTCCTGTGACTCATCAGAATGATATTAATAGCAGCTGACATTCACAGAGCCCTCACTGAGTGGCCAGATTCTGTGTGAGGTGCTTTTCATTTATTATCTTATTTAACTTTCACAGCTGCCCTTTGAGCTGAATATTGTTATCCTCATTTTACAGATGAGGAAGCTGAAAGATGACTTGTATAAGGTCACAAGGTGACTAAATGGTGAAGTCAGAATTCATATTCATGTCTGTCTGAGTCTAAAGCACTCTGTACTGCAAATCTAATAAAATTATTATTATTTTGAGATAGACTCTAGCTCTGTTGCCTGGGTTAGACTCACAGCAACCTCAAACTCCCAGGCTCATGCAATCCTAAATCTATCCTGTGAGCCTACACCCAGTGAGGAGTACCAGGCAGAATATTCAAATCTTTGTATGGCAGAACTTACGTATAAAGTGTAAGTCTTGTTGATTCTGTGTTTAAGACACATCCCGCATCTGTCTATTGCCTACGACCCCAGGTGAAGTCATCATTTCTTGCCTTCAATCCTACAGTAGCTTCCTAACTGCTTTCCTGCTCCCTCTCTTGCCACCCTAAAACCTGTTCTTCACACAACAGCGTGACTGATCAACTTAAAATGTAAGTCAAATCATGCCATCCTCCTCTGAAAGTGCTCCCTGGGCTCCTCATTGCACTTAAAATCTAATTCCTTGCCCTGACCTATAAGGGCCTCAGCTAACACTTCAGCTGCTTACCTTGTCAATTCCATTTCACATCATCCTCTCCCTCCATCATTGAATTCCAGCTTTATCACCCTTCTTTCTGTCCCTGGAATGTGCTAAACTGCTTCTTGCCTTGGGAAGTTTACATTTGTTGTTTCTCTCTAGAATTATCTTTTCTCTTTTTTTTTTTTTTTTTTTCAATGAAACTGTATTTTCCCAAAATGTTGCAGATCAGTTACAACAAACAGAACGGCGACCGTCAAGGAAAACTGTCACTCTGGGCTCCTTTTTGACCACAGCAGCTATGTGGATCTTTTCTCTTTTCTTTTTTTTATTTGCAATAGGTTATAAGTTCTTTTCTTATATATTCTCTTGTCTGGCTCCTTGCCATTTAGGTCTCACTTTAAATGTCATCTCAGCAAGGCCTTTCCTAAGCACCTGAGTAAAGTAGTTCATGAAGCTCTCTGTCATGCCACCCTTTTACATTTTTTTCATTGAACTTATCACAACCTAATATTTAGTGCGTATTTATTTTCTGCCTCCCTGCACTAGAATGAAAGCTCCTTGAATTGTAAGAGCTAAAAACTTACCAATACTATTCTAAGTGCTTTAATATATTAACTTATTAATCCTTACAGCAATTCTAGGAGGTAGATACTTTTATTATGCCCATTTTACAGATGAGGAGACTAAGCCTTAGATAGGTTAAGTACCTTGGCCAAGGTCAGAGCTGGGATTTGAAGCCAGGCAGTCTAGGTCTAGCATCTAAGCTCTTAATCAGGTGAAGGCAGGGCCTTATCTTCCCCACCTCTGTAATCTGGCACCTTGAATTTATCATGGCACTTAATAAGTTCAGTCAAAATTGTGGAATGAAAGTAGGTAGTCACAAGAGAAATATAGCTAAATTATAAACGAAAAGCTAGGAATTATTAACCTTGATTCCTTGCTAATCTGTGAGCAAGTTCTGAACCTGAACTACTTGTTGTCATGAAACATAGCCCGAGTGTGTCCACTTTCTGCCTCCCCCTGCCAACTTCCTTGTCCAGCTCCTCAGTGGCTTTCTCCTAGACTGCCAGTAGCTCCCAGTGGTTTCCTAAGTCATAGGTCAGGGTAACTCTTCTAACTGATTTGAAACCTGCTTTCCTTCTTAGGCTAAAACAAAGAATTGGGTGTGTCATTAGGACAGTAATGTCTGTTTATCCTGAATGACAATTTGCTGGCTGGCTTGTACCCTAACAGCGCGTCCATGTACCCGCATTGCTGGTTTAGCAGGGCCAGACTTGTGGAGGAGTCATTAGCTGGAGAAGACCCCGGGTCTTTGCTTCCCCACCCTGTGTGCCGCGGCACTGTGAAGCCTGGCAGGCACTCACAGGGTGCTGAGGCGTGTTTTTGTTTCTTATGTTTCTGCTCGAAATGAGGGAGTGAGGAGGGGGTTCAATTTCCTTTTTTTTATTGTTGTTGTTTTTTTTTTTGAGACAGAGTCTCACTTTGTTGCCCAGGCTAGAGTGAGTGCCGTGGCATCAGCCTGGCTCACAGCAACCTCAATCTCCTGGGCTCAGCGATCCTACTGCCTCAGCCTCCCGAGTAGCTGGGACTACAGGCATGCGCCACCATGCCCGGCTAATTTTTTGTATATATATTTTTAGTTGGTCAATTAATTTCTTTCTATTTTTGGTAGAGATGGGGTCTCGCTCAGGCTGATTTCAAACTCCTGACCTTGAGCGATCCGCCCGCCTTGGCCTCCCAAAGTGCTAGGATTACAGGCGTGAGCCACCACGCCCGGCTATTGTTGTTGTTTTTTGAGACAGAGTCTCACTTTGTCACACTAGGTGAAATGCAGTAGCTCACAGCAGCCTCAAACTCCTGGGCTCAAAGATCCTCCTGCCTCAGCCTCATGAGTAGCTGGGGCTACAGGCATATGCCACCATGCCCGGCTAATTTTTTCTATATATTTTAAGTTGTCCAGCTAATTTCTTTCTATTTTTAGTAGAGATAGGGTCTCACTCTTGCTCAGGCTGGTCTCGTACTCCTGACCTCAAGTGATCCTCCCACCTTGACCTCCCAGGGTGGTAGGATTATAGGTGAGCCACCGTGCCAGCTGAGACTCCTTTCTCTTAACATAAATCTTAGGAGAAATACGGTGTATTAGTATTTACACCTAATACGGTGTATTAGGTGTATTAGTTTGTTAGGGCTGCCATAACAAAATACCACAGGAAGCCTTTAATGCTGTGTTGTTTGGCCTGAGCAATTGAAAGGATGTAGTTGCCATCTACTGGTTGTGAGAATGAAAGTATTGTCCTGAAGGTAGGCAATATTCCTTTTTTTATTCAAAGTACTTACTGAGCACCCACTGTGTGTCAGGCATACATTGAAGAAAAAGACTAGTTAGTCATTACCCACATGGAGCAGCCATCCTAGTTAGTAGAATTAGACAGTAAACGTGTCAATAAGTAAATAACGCCAGTTAGAGATAAATGTTCATGAAGAAAACAAAATGTGATATTGTGATGGTGCCTTGGAACATGTAACTTTAGCAGCTGGAAGAGCTCTGGGTACAGGTGATGGATTTCACTTGAGTACGGTTATCTGTGGATATAAAAACACTTATCCTTCAGAAGGATCTTCTAGACCATCAGAGAGCTGATGTCATGCCCTCTCATAGAACTGCTTGAACTGAACTTCATTTTGTTGCATTAAAGTAAATGCTGTGGGTAGACAATGGGTGGTGCTGAGGCTCTTACCTCCCACCTTGGATAGGAGCTCGGTGTGGGAGTTCCTCTTGTATCTCAGTTGCAAAAATTGTTGTGAAAATACTTAATGACTGATTTTTTTTCCCCATATTGTGGATACAATTTTTTTTTTTTTGAGACAGAGTCTCACTCTGTTGCCCAGGCTAGAGTGCCGTGGCATCAACCTCGCTCACAGCAACCTCAAACTCCTGGGCTCAAGCGATCCTGATGCCTCAGCCTCCCAAGTAGCTGGGACTACAGGCATGCACCACCATGCCCGGCTAATTTTTTCTCTATATATTTTTAGTTGTCCAATTGATTTCTTTCTATTTTTAATAGAGACAGAGACTTGCTCTTGCTCAGGCTGGTTTTGAACTCCTGACCTTGCGCGATCCTCCTGCCTTGGCCTCCCAGAGTGCTAGGATTACAGGCATGAGCCTCCATGCCCGGCCTCCATTCATCTATTGATGGACATTTGAGCTGTTACCAGTTTTTGGCTACTATGAATAAAGCTGCTGTGAATATTTCTTTTTTCTTTTTTTTTTTTTTTTAGTTAAGTCTCAGATGTGCATCTTTTTTCTTTTATTTTTTTTGAGACAAAAGTCTCACTCTGTTGCCAGGCTAGAGTGCCGTGGCATCAGCCTCACTCAAAGCAACCTCAAACTCCTGGGCTCAAGCAATCCTTCTGCCTCAGCCTCCCGAGATGCTGGGAATACAGGCATGTGTCACCATGCCCAGCTAATTTTTTATATATATATTTTTAGTTGACAATTAATTTCTTTTGCTATTTTGTAGAGACAGGCTCGCTCAGGCTGATTGTTGAACTCCTGACCGCGAGCAATCGCCCACTCAAGCCTCCCAGAGAGTTAGGATTACAGCGTGACAACTGGCACCCAGCCTGAATCTTAACTTTTTAATAGATTAATTCGTTATTTATCTGGCTTGGTAGATGTTAAAAATTGCTAGCGGGCACGGTGGCGGCCACGCCTGTAATTCCTAGCACTCTGGAGGCAGATGCGGCAGATTGCTCGGCAGGTCAGGAGTTCAAACCAAGCCTGAGCAAGAGCAAGACTCGTCTCTACTAAAAATAGAAAGAAATTAAGTTGGCCAACTACATATATATAGAAAAATTAGCTGGCATGGTGGCGCATGCCTGTAGTCTCAGCTACTCAGGAGGCGACCAGCAGGATTGCTTGAGCCAGAGTTTGAGTTGTGCTGTGAGTTAGGCTGACGCCCGCACTCACTCTAGCCTGGGCAACAAAGCGAGACTCTGTCTCAGAAAAAAAAAGAATTGTCTATTTTGTTTAAGATGTTAAGTATATTGGCATACAGTTCATAATTTTATCTTATTATCCTATAGGTTCTATAGAGATGCCTTCTCTTTTATTCTTTTTTTTTTTTTTTGAGACAAGAGTCTCGCTTTGTTGCCCAGGCTAGAGTGATGCCAGTGATCAGCCTAGCTCACAGCAACCTCAACTCCTGGCTCAAGCAGATCCTACTGCCTCAGCCTCCCGAGTAGCTGGGACTACAGCATGGCCACCATGCCCGCTAATTTTTTTTTTTCTGGGTAGATAGTAGGTTGCCCAATAATTTCTTGTCTATTTATAGTAGAGACCAGGTTCGCTTGCTCCAGTGGGTTCGAATCTGAACTCAAAGATCGCGCTTGGCCCTC